AAGATAATAAATGCTTATCTCCGGTACATCAGACCGGTTCATCCAATTTAAATCATGTGTGCAATGCTTTTCGATAATTTTGACCTTATTTCGAATCTGCTCATTCCCAATATACAAAAAAACTATACTTGCATTATTTTTCTTTATACACTAATGTATATAAGGTAAATTTAATAATTTCGTCAAGAAAAGCATGCTACCCTACCATAAGATCGTGAAATCATAAGATCGTTAAGATCGTGAAATAAGATCGTGAAATAATAATACGCGTTATTTCAAGATTAGATCCTTTAAGAATAGTATACACGGCTTCAAAATAATGCCTATAAGGCACCTTGAAATAGCACACATCTTTTACAGGTTTAAACCAGAAAGTTGACTTTTAAAATAATATACACGGGCGTATACGAAATACTGTGCAGATGCTCAAAGTAACGCGTATGGTATGTATGCATTATCTCATAGTTTTATAGTATTAACTAAACATGAACAATTGATATGCTTAAAAGCTTCTGCAAGTTCTTTATTTATATTAGATAAGCGCTGCTTGCATGCTATTTCAAGTACTCTCATGTGCAATAAGTATATTTTACAATAAGCCCTGTAGAATTTGTTTACGCGCATACGAATAGGTTACTGCGAGCTTTGTTTAAAACTATTTAAAGGGGTTTCAAAGTAATGCGCATGGGTATTAATTCAGACAACATTTTGATTTTAAAAGGTCACGAAATAATGCCCATGGGCATTACTTTACAAGAAGGATAACCAGTGAATGAAGTTATAGGAATCCGGTATAATATTTGACTATTTATAAATAATGAATTAGCTTTAAAGTCTTATATTTTTTATTTTATTGTATTGAATTGTAAAACAAAACTTATCAAAGTCTAATAAAGTAACCCAATTGCAATTCAACAAAAAAAAGCTTAATCAAACAATTAAAAAATATTTTATAATTCACATTGCTCGCTTAAAGTTTTTTGATAGAGTTATAAATTTATTTTTTTTTAAACGTGTCCCAGTTAACTTAATAGTATGTCAAAATATAAAGTTGCGCTTATATCACGGGGCGAAATCTTACAAGATTTGCATTTTGGGCCAAATGCTAAAGATTGGTGGATTTCTCGTCCAACTAACAATGATGTAACATATACGCACCTATATCCAATTCGTTTTGGTATGAAAACTCTAACTACAATAAATCAGCATGTTTTCATAATTACAGTAGTTCAAGATGGCTTTGAGTCCGGGTATTTATGTCAATCTGAAGCATTGCGAAGTAATGTATGTAAAAGTTCATTGGAAGCGGTTACCTCTACATATCAACAAGCTTTTTTAAAAAAAACTAGATTCAATGGTCTTTTAGTTATGGGATTTGATGATTTAGAAATATGTAAAATGTTACTTACTGATATTCCTTTTCATCCTTATACTTTTAAAATCAGGAATAATATAAATTTGACGGTTTTTGGAATTGGTAAATCGAACAATCCTGATTGGAAATATGCTAGAAAAGGTTATCAAAGCTCTTTTGTGTATAACTTTCGCAAAACTCGAGCATTATTTTTTCAGAAATTTAGTAATAAAGAAGCAATTGTTAAAATATATCAAAATTCTCAAGAAGCATATACTTTTCGTGATACTGACCCTAATACAGTTTGGAATCAAATTGGTATATTAACACAATTTACAGGAAGCACGATATTTGGACTTGAACATGAACAAACAATATCAGAAATTAATAAAGAACAAACACTTACATGTACGGTAGAAGATTGGCAAAATGAACAGATTATGAACAGACTTTTTAATTATCATCTAAAAAAATTTATCGTTACGTCTATAGAATGGAAAAAATTTTTTATTTTCTGGCAAAATCAAGAAAGTAATATTATTGAACTAACAACTCAGCTAAAAAAAATATACCCACCAGGTTATACCATTAAAGATCGCGAATTGCGTGCATGGAAAGCCTTATTACGACATACAGGTTGTACTAATATAACACCTTTTGGAAAGGATTCTGCGGTAAACCCTAAAAGTAATAATAATAAACATATATACCTGTTTCTCCTACACATATACTTCCTTAACATTTGAAAAACAAAATATTAATTATACTCAGGCGCCCATGTATAATATTACTCTACTTAGACACCTAAAAAAAATATATTCGTATATCGTACCTTCTGGGGTATACGATAAAAAATTATAACTCAGGCGCCTAAAAGCCATTTTCCTGAAAGAACATAATTCCGATTTATCGGAATTATGTTCTTTCAGGAAAATGGCTTTTAAAAAATCACATCAGAATCTGGAGAACATAGTATAAATATATATATATACTGTATGTATAATTCTAACTCACAGTATTTGTAGTTTGAATTTTGGACCAATTCGAAAGATTCAGCAAAAGATCAAGCTATGTTAAAGCAGCTATACGAATGTGGATGTTTTTGAACTATTCCAGAGAGTTATGAAAATATTGAGAATCAATTTTGGAATGCATTTCAGGATGTCTTAGATAGTAATATTCGTGTAACTGATGAAAAAAGAAGAATACTATCTATTATTGCTGATAAACTTCCCTATGACATAATCAAAGAAAAATTATCCATTAGCATTTGAAAGTCATATTAATATAGTACTGCCAAGGGAAGATAGCCGTTCGGACTTTCAATTATATTTTGCACCGGACACAATCTATCTAATCTTTTAGGAATTGTGTCCGGTAAAAATATAATTAAAAGTCTAAACGACTATTTCCTCTTGACAGTACTCAATAAATATTTAAACAAAAATTTAACTAAATATTTATCTTAGGTTTCAAATTATTTAATTACCGAAGCACGCCATTATGCACGCTTTAATGGTCTAGGAGGTATCCAATTAGGAAAGCCTAAAATTACTCGAGAAAAGTTAGCACCTGAAAAAAAAGAACAGATTGAGTTTTTTTTTCAAAATAAAGCAAATGTAGTAATGAGTTCTTATAAGACAGATAGTGCTACTGGATTACCTGTATACTATTTAAAAGATAATAAAGAGGCATTGTGGGAACGATTTTGCAAAGAATATCCGGATGGTGTTAAAAGAACGACATTTTATAAATATTTAAAAGGTGGTCAATATATATATAAGGAAGACTTAGGTGGTCTTTGCTCAATATGTAATATGTATGGGTATGAAACATTTGATGAACTTCAAAAGTTAATAGAATACCATGCGGACCTGGATTATCAGATAAACATATATATTATTAAATTACACTTTTTCAAAGCTAAAAGACTCAACATCATCAGAAAACTTCAAAACTTGATAATAATTGGTTGCAAGCAGTTAATCGATTAATATTATCGGCGGGGTGATAATAATTGATTTAAATCAAAATCGATAATAATCGATTATGATTAAAAGCGATTAAATTAAATCGATTATAATCAATTAGTTTTATTATAATCAGTAAAAATCTTTATCGTGTAATCGGTGGGGTGATAATAATCGATTAGAATCATCAGATTTTAATCGATTACAACCAGTTTTTAAAATTTCATGATAATGTCAAATGCTATTTGAATATACTATTCGATATATGATTATTTATCAAGTGATTTCACGGACATACATGTCCGCGAAATCACATGAAAGCCTCAAACAGCATTCGAAATATGTCAGTTGGCGTTACTTTGAATTTCATTACCTTTCATTAGACTAACTGATAAAATTAAATAATGATAAGGAGCGATTGTCAACCGAATGCAGTAACCTGCAAAGATATTTAAAAAAAGATTATGAAAATGAGTTAAAAGTTGATTTTTTTGGTTATACAAAACACGATACCTGTATTAATCATTGTATGCTTTATGCTTTTGAAACTTGCTTAGAATTCCACGATCTAACCTGTAATCGCTGTGGGGCCTTTTTTAATCTATTTAGGCAAATTCGAGAGCACATACCTTCTGATATTCATATAGAGTTAAAAGAGTTACAGGATTATTTATTATATTATTTGGCACATCAGACTAGGAAGGTGTATTTAAATGCACAATTATATGCCCATTTAGGTGAACTTGATGAAAAAGGTGCCGTAATTATTGTAGACTACAAAATGAAAATTTTACCTAAAAGCTCATGTGAAACAAAACAAGACTTCTATAGAAAAAAAGGGTGGTCACTGCATTCAGTATTAATATATACTCGCCTGCCTAATACCAATAATTTGCAAGTTCGTGCTTTCGATCATTGGTCAACAGATTCACGCCAAGACGCTTGGTTCACAGCTTCTTCGTTGCATGCTGCAATAACTAACCTTAATCCTCAGCCAGAATGGGTTGCTTTTTTATTGAATAACGGGCCACACTACTATAATGCAGATCTAATGATAATTATGGGAAGATGGAAAGAATGGTATAACATTCATGTTAGAAAATGGACTTTTCTTGAAGCAGGAGAAGCTAAAACAACAATTGATTCTCACCATGCATAGGTTTAACTTACTATTTTTTTTTTTTTGATACATTTAATCTATTTATTTAACCATTCAGATATTTTTAGATTTCACATGCAATCAGCCGTCGTGTTCGTTTAGGATTTGATATTGCACAAGAATCAGACATTGAACAAGCAATTGAAGGAATTCGTGGAATGGCAGTAGCTCATTTGGAGCCAGAGCATAATAAAGGTAATATAAATAAGTATATAAAATGGCAAGATGTTTGATACTTTTTATTAGTTTCAGATAAAAAACGAATCAACACTTTACCTGGTAACTCAAACTGGTTCTCGTGGGAGTGGCCGTATGATGGTGATTATGCAGGATATATTCAGGCATGCGCAATGCCTAATATTGGTGAATGGAACAATTTCTCACCTGCAAAGTTAGAAAAACTAAAAAAAAAGAAATACAAAAACCGAATCCCCAAGTTTCTCAACATTCAATTCTCAAGTCCTCGTGGTTTGTCCCATTGTCATATAAATCAGGTAGCGTACTACTCTTTATTACTATTTTTATATAAAATTACATTGCTATCTGATCTATATTTTAGGTACCTCTTCTCAACGTCCGACGGTTGATCAACTAAAAAGTGACGAAGAAAAGTAATATTAAAACTTCGTTTATTATCATAATTTCTTACATACTGTATATTGACTAATAATTGTATATGATATAAAAAGTATATGTGGTAATCTACTTACACTAGGTTGGGCGTTAAAGGAAAATCAAAAATTTGGAAAAAAGGGTGCAGGTAAAAGAATCAGTAAGCATGTAATAGCTCACTTGGAAGGATACTTTTTAGCCAGTAACGCTAATAAAAGTGAAAGATATAGCGCAGAAGAAATGCATAAGGAATTAATAGATTTAGCAAAGGAAGGTAGTTTGGAGAAAAATGATATTCCAAAGGTGTCGACCATTCAAAACTGGATAGCAAGATATGCAGCGCAACATAAGCAAAAAATGGCAAAAATGATTTTTCAATAGTAATTACTAATAGAAATACCAGTATGATCACGTTTCTTGTGTAACATGAAATGTGGTAGGGATGGTTTCCTTCAACTTTTTTGATGTCGCTTATGCTGATTT